AGAGAGAATGAATATCAAATTATGCATTCTGCAGCCTGGCTGGTTCTCCAGCTAGGGAGCTGCTTTCCGTCCCCCAGTTGCCTCTTCTGTCTTTCCCACTGTACTCTTCCCCTTTGTTCTATAAGTCCTGGTGATCTGTGATTAGCCTGACTGGCCATGCCTGGTTTGACTTTCAAGGGCTCAGTCATAAGCCACCTAGGAAAGGCAGCCGTAAGAACAAGGTAACATCTGTTCCAGGCCTTCCTGGAGGACGTGCTTCACATTCCTCCCCTCAAAGCAAAATTGATCGGCCTTGACCTGGGGCCACACCAGAAAGAGGGCTCCCCCAGGGGCTGGGGTGCCATTCAGTGCCCAGATGAGGTCAGTCACCACATGGTCCTCAGCAGTCCAAGGAATGAGAGGCATTTGCTTCCCCTCTTAGTTCACAAGAGTTATGAATACTTTGGGTTAAACTAAAAGTTCACCTCTTGACAGAAAGGGGGCCTAAATAAGAGGCAGATAATAGGATCTTTCTCAAAGGGGAAGGGATTGAGAGATGGGAGAAGAGGAGGAAGGGAAGGGAAGGGATGAAAAAGGAATTAAGATGAGTTGTACACATGCACCACCTCCACATGGAGATAATGTACTGCACACGGGAGTTAAATAAAAAAGGAAGGCAATGCCCATTCCTCTGAGTTAGAACACAGACGGGGATAGGTGAGGAGATGAAAGGGCATCATTTATCCAGTTCATAGTCAAGTCTTATCCCGGAGCCCAGATCCCAGGCCCCATTAACCCTGCTGAGAACGAGCACTGCTCCCAAGGCACTCAGTTCCCTGAAACAGCGATGAGGGGTAGAAATAGTCTCCCAATGAAAGACCCAAGTCCATCTCTTGGTTGCATCCAAACCCAGGTCAGTGTGGAGGAGAAGCAAGTTAGATCCTCACCCAACCAGTTGCCCCTAAAACTTTTGAAAGCACTATAACATCCCTCCTTAACCTCCCATTCTCATACAAAAACATCTCCCATGTTTTTAGCCCTTTCCTACACTACAAGTTTTCCAAGTATCCCCCTACTCTGGCTCACCCTGACTCCCCTTCCTAGAATAATGGTGTCCTGGTGACCTTCGCACAGAATGAGGCCAGGACTCTACGTGTCAGGCAGTTGTGGAGAGCAAAGCAACCATGGTTTGCTCAGGTTTCCTTTACATTATACTTCCAGCAAGTGCAGACCTTTGCCTCTCCGGTTATAGTATGAACAAGTTCTGGGGATACAGGTTTTCTGGAATAATTATGCCTTCATTTCATATAATGCCAGATTTTTTCATACTTCTTTTAGTGATTTGCTTCCTTGTCAAGATGTGTATTAGTGCCATAAATAGTGCACAATACGATGTGGGAATGGAAAGAACTCTATTTGTGACTTGTTCCAGGGGTTTCAGCATTGTATAACAGCATCTCCCAACTTTATCCCCAACCTGAGTACAGAATTGTGAGGCAGTTCTGCATAACCCATGCCTGATCCTTTAACAAATCAGTGAAAGTTCATATGTCAATAGTAAAAACAGACCATCCAATTTAAAAATGAGCAAAGGTCCTGAAAAAGACATTTTTTCCAAAGAAGACACACAAATGCTCAACAGGTATATAAAAAAAGTATCCAAGTTCACTGACCTTGAGAGAAACCATGCCCAAAGCCATAATGAAACATCGCTCCACACCTAAGACATGTTATAAAGCAGAAAACAGGTAATAAGTATTAGCAAAGTACAGAGAAAATGAAACTCTTACATGCCGTTGGTAAGAATGTAAATTGGTTTAACCATTATGAAAGACATTAAAAATAGAACTATCAGGTGATATACTACTGGGCACACAGTATGTCCAAAGAGAGTAAATCAGTATCTCAGAGAGATGTCTGCATTTCCATGTTCCCCGCGGCGTGGAAGCAGGGGCAACTGAAGTGTTCACTGGCGGATGAAGGAATGAAGAAACGTGCATATGTGAGATATGACTGCACACTTGGTAGCATATATAGATCATGAAACATCACTCAACCTTAATAAGGTAGGAAGCCTGGGACATTATGCTAAGCGAAATAAACCAGACACACAAAGACAGATACTGCATGATGTCTCTTATAATACGGACTTTTGGACCCTCAAAATGTTGAATTCAGAACCAGAGAGTAGAACGGTGGCTTCCAGGGGATGAGAGTGGGGAACGTGTGGGTCAGAGGGTACAAATTTCCAGTTATAGTCTGAACAAGTTCTGGGGATACAGTGTACAATGTAGTGACTAGAGCTAAAATGCAATAAGTCACCAACTTACAACCACTGGAATTTCACAGATAGAATGGACCTCACATTACAGACACGCCTATATGCAAACAAATCACAGAAGCAGCTCATGTGTCTGCTGGACCCTGTCACACTGTGCTGCTGTGCGCTTCGTGACAGTGTGATGGTGTGCAGCGGTGCAATGCTCAGAGCCCAGGGTGCCCAGAAGCAGGAGGCGAAGCAGTGGTGATGTGCAGGGGATGCTAGGAGGCACAGAGCAATGCGCTGTAGCATCTTTATTCACAAATCCTTCTTTTCATAAACAATTCAGTTCAAAAACAGAAGTGTTGAACAAAATTTTGCTTCTGTTCATGAACTCCATACCGGGTGAGGAACATGCTCATGGCACCAATGTGAATGTGGCTATCCTCTCCAGCAATGTGAAACAAATTCTGTTCATGAACTGAGGTGCCACCAAATATACACTGTATATTTGAGTCAAAGGTGTGTAAGACTCACTTTATCAGACTTGCAAGTGAATCTGACTCACAGACATTCATCCAAAATGGAGCTCATTTGTAAGCAAGGACTTACTGTGTTGTATTGTATACTTGAAATTTCTGAGGACAGCCTGAGTGTTCTCATATCCCCCCAAATGGCAAACTGTGTGAGCTGGCAGATGTGTACACTGGCTGGGTTGTGACCATCACCTCACTATAAGCATCTCTCAAATCATTGTGTGTTAGACCTTATGTACAATTTTTATATCAAACATCCTAATGTTGAAAAAACATAAGAATGAAATGTGCTGAACTGTCCTATCACATCTAGAATTCCAGACTTACACATCTCCCGCCCTGCCCCTCCAGGCCAGCCATCATGCTCCGCTGCAGTCACCAAGGGTACTCTGTTCCATCTTGCTGCTATGGAATCTCAGCTGTGTGGTTCCCCCATAGTGAACCTTTTGCTGGTACTGATCAACTCCCCACTGGAGCTGTGCCTCACTTAAACCAGTGTGTTCTTTTCCTCTCTTATATTGTAATCTGGCTAATGGCCCTAACACATGTTAGCATTCACACCCCCAATACCATAACAAGATAATGAACCAATCACAAATTCTAAATTCAGCTACTTCTGAAAAGCCTACACTCCATGACTAAATGAGTTTTTGGGGGACATCTAAGCACAGAGCATAAAACCTCCATCTTAATGCCTTGGAGCTTAGGTTTGAACACATGAACATAAACAGTCAAACTATAACAGGTAATATTCAATCCTGAGAGGTAAGTTTAATTCTTCCCAATTTGTAGGTGAGAAAATTAAGATTTGGAAAGGAAAGTTTTAGGCTCCTACTTTCTATGTCAATGAGATTCTGAGCGATATATAGTCGCAGCTCCACCTGCCTGTCTTGCCTTCTCAAAGTGCTCGGACATCTGTGTGCCTCATACACCAAAGTAGTTTGAAAAGCAGGTGGAGCACTCCTGCCCAACCAGAGTTTTGGGAGAGAGGCTTAAAGATGAGTCTCTTTAATCTCCTGCACAGAACTGCCATGTCACTGGCCCTTGAAGAAGTATGCACAGCTAGCATGCACTGGCCTTGGGTCAAACATCTGGACTGGCAGTGCCAGTTTTCCCAGTGCTTAGCTATGTGACCCTAGATACTTCACCTTGTCAAACCTCAGCTTCCTCATCCTTAATGTGGATGTGGAAGCTGTGCCTCTGAGAGGAGATCATTATGAAATTAAATGAGCTCAATCATGCATAATATTTAGTAAAATTCCTGAACAAAATAAATGACCCGTGACCTTTAGTCATGGGGTAAGGAAGGTAACAGTGACGTATGTAGCCTGGCTCCCACTGATAGTCAAGGGTCTTGTGGAATAAAGACAGCTTAGCCTCTGGGACCCTTTCTTTCACTCCCCACAGTGAGCAGCTCTCAAGGAGGGCATGGAGGTGGTGTTGCTATCCAGCCCATGAAGCTACAGTTCTCAGAAAGGCTTTGCTCTTGCTCTATTCTAAATCCTTTTGTAATGAATACTCTTCACTGAGAAACTGCCACTGCCTTCCTCACGGTCCTGATCTGGAGGTCTGTACATGTACACATTTATGGATGGCACGGCTGTATACCTGCTAAGCTTCCCTCTGCTTCAGGGGGCTGCTCCACATTTTGAATATGTCTCACTCGTGCTTCTGGTGGCTGCTCTAACATATCTGCTAAGGTGGGCAGGGTGCCCCACCCCAGGGCATTTCATCTAAATGTGGTTTGGTCTTGAATATCTTGGTACTCAGTGAAGACAAAGTAAATGACAGCGTGTGAGGTCAGTTTCCCAATGAGCTCAGACAAGCTCTGCTGAAAGAAATCACTCAACACAGGGCATGGGAGGGGCATGCTTGGGGAGCACCAAGGCGGGAAAAGTGTTGAGATCAAGTGACAAGGAGATGAGGGCTTCTTCAAGCCAAAGGGTCTATCTGGGATACCAGCCATAAGCAAAGGCAGCTTCAGCACAGATGTCTGCAATGTGGAGTACACCCCTGTTATTTGCATTTCAAAACTACTTCCTGGGGCAGGTTTTTGGGAACTCACAACATGTTATGGTCAGGCAATCCTCTGAGGGCTGTGATTCTTTTCTCAGGACTCTGTCCCATTTACTATAGGGAAAACCCATAAATTATCTTTTCTGACTCCTGTTTGTGAGCTGACAAAGCAGTAGAAAGGTTACTTCTCTTGAGAATCTATTCTGTGCTTTTCTTTTTTTAAATTTTATTTTGAAAGTATACAACAGAACAAGTCAGAATAAAGCCAACTAAGATCGTACAGTGAAATTGGTACAGAACTTCACAGCAGGTTACCAGGATAACAGTAATAGGTATCACAGTATATTTTGTTATATTTATAATAGTTGTTCTTTCAATCACCTATATCAAAATGAGATGAAATATAGAACACTATAGAACTTATCAAAACAGAATATTGAATAGAGCAGTACCATTAATCAGAAAAGAGCAAAAAAGTAATAAAAATATTTGCCTTCAAAGAAATGGTAGAAGGAAGTCCCCCTTATTTGCTATGGTCAACCTCCCAAGAGATGCTCAGATTTCTGGTTCCCATTTGCTAATGGGCGAGGAGGGGGGATAGGGGAAGTGGGATATTTGACTCTAGGCCATGTAGCAGTAGGTTCACTATTGCTTAGCAGGGAGACAGGATGGTCATTTGTTTTTACAGCGTCCTCAGTTCCAACATGGTGGGGAATCTCAGGAGCTGCTGCTGGTTCTCCCCCTGGAAGGGCTGCAGTCAGCCAGACCACCACTGTTTACCAGGGAGGGGAGGTGCTTGCTTGGCTTCCCAGAGTCCTAAGTTCCAACATGGCGTGGATCTCAGGAGACACTGCTGGTTCTGTGCTTTTCTTAATCAGTCTCTAATAACCACAGAAGACTTTACTCAAGTTCAGAGAGGACTAGGAATTAGTGTTTAAAGAGCAAAGAGCCCTGGCCATGATCATAACGTTGAGAGTGAGGGTTGAGAGAGGACCATTGGTATCTTTCAAGTGGTGAATGGGAGAACAGAAAGCCAGCCGGGGCCACAGTCAATCTAGGGGAAAGTCATTCCCAGTCATCCAAAGGAGTTCAGCTGCTGGTAGAGGATCTGCCCAGGTTTCTTCAGGTGTGATGTTGGAGCCTCCTGAGGCCTTCCTAAGGCAAGGAGAGAATGGGATCATCCCTGTACTTGAAACTGATTCAGCAAAGTCTCACTTGTGAGCCTTCTGGATGGGTCAAGGAAAGCAGTGTCACAACCATCCATTCTCAGAGGAGTCACCAACCTTGGTCCTCATTCCATGGCAGTGGAAATAGGCTTGCCAAACAAAATAAAGACATCCAGTTAACTTGAATTTCAAATAAACTGAAGTTTTTTTTATATAAATATATCCAAAATGTTGTGTGAGATGTAGTTATACTCAAAACTTTTTTTACTGTTATCTGAAATCCAAATTTTACCAGGTGTCCTGTGTTTTTATTTTTACTTGCAATTCCTCCCACAAGTCAGGATGACTTCCTGAGGGTGAGTCCCTCTGAGATCACAGGGGCTGTAACAGGAGATGCCACCAGTGGGTTGGATCTCACCTCCCTGAACTTTAGCCCTCATTCATCAGCTCCTGGGGACAAAGAACATGGACCCCAAGGCAGTGTTCTTAGGTTTGAGCTCCCCTTGGCTCCCTAGCTTGTTAACTGTAAGCTGTGGAACCTCTCTGTGCTCCTAGTGTCATCATCTATAAAATGGGGTAATAACAATTGTTTTGTAAAGTTGTTCTAAAGCTCACATCTATGAGAAGTAGAAGATGTTAATTATTAGTGTCAATGTCCTCTGTTAGTACGTATACAAAAGAGCTGGACTGGAGAGAAGCATGTGTCTCACCAGAGCTGGGTGGAATTTTGGGTCTAGAAGTCTTAGCAGTCAGAAGAACATTATTTGGGGAATATTTAAATGAATCTTCTTGTTCTAGGAGGCCAGGTAAACTAAATGTCTGGCTCCAAATTTCATATATGACTGCGAATAAGAACCTTGGGGCGTAAAAAGGCAGATCAGAGATAAGAGAAAGCAAAAGGAATGGTGGAGGACCTTTTGCAAGAACTGAGTAAGAACCACAGAGTTACGAGATTTTGGAGCCACCAGGAGAGTCCAAAGCAGAGTCTGTCCTGCCCTTAGGAGGGGCAAGGACTTGAGAAGCAAGGGTTCTGGGCATCCTAGTCTTAGTTTTTAGCCAGTGTCCCTGGATATCTTCTGCAAATCTTTCCCCTCTCCTGCCTTCAGTTTCCTATCAGCACAAAGGAGATAATCACTGCAGCTTTGTCCTCTGGCTATTGTGAAACTTTCGGAAGGAATGACACAGCTGCCTCCCAGGGAATCGCCACCTCCTTTGGCCCTGGCCGTGCCCCAGCACATCAGAGCACAGTCCTTCACCATGTCCCCAGGCTCTGCACAACCAGGTGGCAGAATCTGAGCCCCAGAGCCAGGGTGGAGAGAGCTGTTGTGCTGGGCTGGCCTGCGCAACCCTGCACCTTGATTGAAACCCCACCAAGAAGGCAGCTCTGCTCAGCTCTCCACTGATGCTTTCTGAGTTGAACCAACCAACTTTGCTAAAACATTCAGGTAAATTGTGACATTTTCCTTCCTAATGTTTGGCTATAGGTATTCAATGATTCCCTATCTATATGCCATTTATTTCCTGTCACCCAGACTGTTAACCCTGGCTGTCTGTGTCCTGTTACCCCCAATCAAATCCATTCTTCCTTTGCTCCAGAGAGAGTCTTCTAAGGTAAAACTCCAATTAGGCTGTCTCCTAACATCTACTGCATAGATTCTTTATTTAAAGCTCCTGGAAAGTCTTCAGGGAATTTTTGAAAACCCTAAAATGTAACACACCTGAGCTCTGCATACATATAGACTTTGATCAGACTAATAGAGGGGCCTATAACTGCCTCTTTCCCCTCAAAATATCTGAAAATCTCTGCTGCACAAGAAAGTCCAATATCCTTAATCTGCAGGGTATGTAAGACATTTCATGGTGTAGTTTTTGCCTGCACCAGCTTTATTCTTGATCTTTTAGCCCCAGCTGCTCAAAAGCATCTTACGATTTCCTCCTTGCCTGTGCTCACATTGTGTCCTCTGCCCTGAATGCTCTCTGCTTCTGAGCCTACCTCTCACCTGGTCAAATGCCATTTAGCGACTCCACAAAGGCCCTCCTCCAGCAGCTTCTCTCCTGCATCCCTGCCCTGGGGCCATGGCCTTCCTGGCCTACTACAGGATGTGTAGCCATGTACTCCTGTGAGAGGAGAGATCCTGAGGACACAGTTGTGTCTCACTGGTTCTCTCTTTCCCTTCTTTCACTAAACCAGCAGTGCTTAGGATCAGAGACTCGGCCTTAACTGGATCTTGTTAGAAATGCAGACTCCTTGGCCCTCCCAGAACTACTGGGTGGGAGACCCAGAGGTGGGGTCAGAAGCTGTGCTTCACCATTTCCTGCCAGAGACCCTGACAACCACCGAAGCCTGAGAGCCGTGCCCGGTGCTCCACCAGCATTTGCCTGGTTGATTGGGGTAGCTCCTACCCCAACTTTCTGCCTCCTCTCCATCACCTCCTGACTATTCTTTCTGGTACTGCCCCAGCAATCTTTTCAGATCATGTAGGGACCTTGCTTAAAGCCTGTTGTACTTCCCTTACACCTCGAGCTCCATCTGCCCCTGACCAGGGGTGCAGGGTTCTGCAGGACCTGGCCCCCCATTCTCCTTCCTACTACTCTCCGCCACAGCACCCGTTCTGTGCTTCTCAGCCCCATCCCTTCTGCCTCTGGCCATGTGCTAGGCTGGGGAGCAGCACTGAAAACCTAGCCTGTATGGGAGAAGGGGCAGCCGAACAGTGGAGACAGATCTGGACGCAAATGGACACAGTGGTCAGGAGAAACAGGCACAGAGCTGTGTGGAGTATAGCGGTAGCAAGGGGAGTTCATCCAGGCACCTCCATTCCAAAGTGATTTCCGAGCATTTCTAATGGTCTGAGGGTGGGTTTCTTCCTCTGCATCTTCCATCTACACATTCTGTCCTCAAGCTTCAGTCTCCATGTCCATCAATGGGGTTGCAGGGAAGAATACATCAGAGTGTACAGTATTCCCCCCATGCAGGGGTGTGCTCCAACACATTCCACACATGCTTGGAGGTGCAGATAGCGCAGAGCCCTACACACCTGAGCTTTTCAGTGTAGACATTCCTATGGCAAAGCTTAACTTTCATGTTAGGCACAGTAAAGAATAAATAACAGCCACCAACAAAATAAAGCAGTGTCCTGTAATAAAGGAGATCTGCTGCTGATGACGTGGTTAGCTCAGCTCTGGCCCAGCCCCAGGCTGCCTTGTGACTGGGGAATATTATAGCTTACTTTTTGGAGGATCTACCTCTTTATGAGCTTCAGTAGGAAATGGAGATTCTGGAAACAAAAACAAAAACAAAAACAGAAACCACCTCAAAACAGAAGCCTCAGGAGAAACCCTGAGGTTAGGCTGAGGGAGAGAGAAAGTCCCCCACAGTCAGCAGTCTTCCTCCTAGGGTGTGGGTGTCAGGTGAACATGAAGCTAGAGCACAGCCTGGCCAGGCTTACCAGAAGGGGCAGTGGGGCTTGTAAGGCCTTACAGGAAAAGCAGAGGCTGAACAGGAACCAGGGCCCCCATTCTGGAAGTGGGTGAGCTTCGGGGCTGTAGGTCCAAGGGATCTGCACCAGTCTGTGCTGGACACAGGCAATTCTCCTGAGCTCTTGGACCATCCTCTGGGGCTGGCAAGATGGAAACGGAAAACCAGCATCACTGCTCTGGGGGCCAGGGCTCTCAGCTCACAGGACAAGTGCCTGGCTACAGCCCCAGGGGGTGAGTGGGAGGCAGCAGGCTGGGCATGCTGGGTATTTGTTCATTCATTCACTCATTTATTCACTCAATCCCAGTTTTCTGACCCATGAAATGGGAAAAGGAAAAGAATTCCTCCCCTTCCTGCTAGGAATATGTGGACTGTAGTGGAGCAGGGTGGGAAAGGGTTGTATAGTGACACTGGGAAAAAAACTTTCAATCATTCACGCTATAATAAAAGTAATAACAGACACTTACCAAGTATGAGCCCTCACTTCGGTATTCATGGCCACTCTGTGAGGTAGCTGCTCTGATTTCCATCTACAGAGGAGAAAAATATGACAGAGAGATAACTCATCCAGTCAGCAAGTCGGGGCAGAAGTGGTATTTGTCTGAGCAAACTGCTAGCCACCCTTAGCCACAATGTCACATGAGGCTTGAGCCTCCTTTCCTGTGCTGCAGCCAGGGAACAATGAACATAAATGTTCATTTATAGCTTTGGAACTACAGTGTGGGGGCAGTGGCCCGGCATGTCCCTAAATGAGTATGGACAACTTGAGTTCCAAGAAGGCAAAGGAAGATAAACCTGTATGGCAAGAGGACAGGAGGCCACCAGAAAGAAGCACGGCAGGCAGCAGGCTCTGAGATGGAGGTGTCCACGCAGCGCTGCCTGAGGGTTGTGTTTCCTCTGTGCACCGTGTTTTGAGGAGGGATTTTTGCAGAGGTGCAGATGAAGCAGTGTGCCAGGGATGGCGTAGGAGCACAGGGCTACTGAGTTGTAGACATGGCCACTTTAGGAGGACGATAAGAGCCAAAACAGTACAAGAGAACTTGCAAGAAGAGAACCATAAGCCAGTCCTGTCCCTTCTCTCCTTCCCTTCCTTTCCTCCCTGCCTTTTAGTCAGCTGATGCAACTGGAAGCAGAAATCTTGGGAACTGACAGAGGAGGTCCCCACAAATCAGTTTTTGCATTCCAGATCACATGCTGAAAGGAAAGGTATAAATGTAGCAGCACAAAGTAAAGACAATCTGCAGCTCAGAAGGATGCACAGAGATTTCTGTTAGCAGAGTGGGCAGATGGCATCTCACTGAGGAGACAGATGTGCTGTTATGTTGTCAGGAATGCTTGGAACAAAGTGCTTTGAGTAGCAAAGGCATAAGGTACAAGAGATGGAGTGTGGGGAAGGAGGTTGGAGTGAGAAGGGCTGGGTGGGGGAAAGTGTGGGCTCACTGGTCCTGAGGGTCACTGAAGCAATTTAAATAGAGAAATGACTAGGAGACTGTGTATTTGGAGGTTAGTGTTTTGACTGCAGAGTGGTGAGTGATTTGAGGACAGAGAATGGTTATAGCCAAGAAGGACCAGTTAAGAACCTTGTGGAATGCTTGGGAGAGACAAGCCCAAAAGCCTGAACAGGCAGGAGCCCACTCTCTGCTGAGAAAGATGAAGACAAACCAGACCCGTAGGGCCTGGACCTGACTCCCTATAGAACCCTTGTCTCTCTCGAGGGCAGGCGCAGAGCAGAAACTGAACAGGTGCTAAGGGCCAGAGCCAGCTCTTAGGGTCTTGGTTTCTTTTTGACTGGATAAAGTTTATGAGAAGAACTGTGGCAGAGGTTACAAATCCCTAGAGTAGAGAGGCTGCTTTGACCATACCGGAAAGAAAGAGAAGCAGAAAATCAGAAGACTAGAAAAGGCTGCTTATATTCTAGAATGTGTGGGAGGCCACACTAGATGAAGAAATGGATACTGAAAGGAGAAAATATGGGTGTTCAAGATATAAAGAATAAATTGGATAGAAATTGGTAGGTCTCTCTAATTTTCTTTTTTCATTTCTTTTTTGATAGAAAGAAGGGAGTACAAGAGGCCCAGGTGATCCCAAGCAAATATTTCTAGGAAACCAACAACTTGATGTGCCAAGAAGCTGGGAAATAAGCAAATGGCCTACACCCTGCATGGTGCCGATGTGTTGGAAGTGTGGCACGTTGTTATAGTTTATGCCTAGACACCCTCCCAAAGCTTTATACATTCATAGGTGGGGCTTTGGAGAGGCAATCAGATCAAGGGTGTATAATACTCATCAGTAGATTAATCTACAGATGAGTTTATAGCTAATTGTGATTTGGAAGGTGAGCCTTGTCAGAGGAGGTGGTCACTGGGATGTATCCTGGCAGGGTGTATCACCTCCCCTCCCTTGATCCCTCCCAGCTTCCTGCTTGCGCTGCTGTGGACTGCTTCTCCTCTGCCAGGCCACTCTGCCATGCCTCCTTGCCTTGGAGCTGATAACTATGGACTGAAACCTCTACAAACTGTGGGCCAAAATAAACCTCTCCTCCTTAGAGCTGTGGGTGTCAGGTATTGCGCCTCAAAGAAAAGAAAGTAACTAAGATGCTGTTTTAGCTTCCAAAGATTATTTTGGGCATTACGCGTTCCCCAGCACTGAAGTATGATTCTGTATGAATTTGGTGGGTGACAGAGTAACCAGATGGCTAACAGTGTGGAAAGCAGCACTGGTACTAAGGTGGACGGAGCCTGTAGAACTCTACCTTCTCTTTCCAAATGTGAATCAGACATACAGAGGAGGAATCACCTTCCCTAGCTACAGCACAGGCTCCCCCAACATTTTGTTGTTCCTTATGACTGCAGCGAACCAACTTGAAGGGAACACAGGACAATGCTAAAGTCTCCAGACTTCCTTCACAAAGGGCACCATAGTCAATCTTTGGAGTTTTGGGGCCCACATGAGACCATTTCTTTTTAATGATTCTTTAAAGCTGTTAAAACTGAGAGCTGGCTTGGGTGGAGGTAAGCTCAGTAGCAAAGCATTTACATAACATGCCCAAGTCCCTGGATTCAAATCCCCTGTGCCCACAATCTAAAAAATAAAAGAACAGTAAAACTATTCTTGGATTACAAACCACACAAAATCAGAACATACAAAAAAGGCCTCAGTGATGTGTGCTTGAAAGCATGGTATTAGCTTTTGACCTGGATTTGAATTTTGGTTTTGCCATCAATAGCTTATTTGACCTCTGTTGCTTAAACTCCTTTTTCTTCTCTGTAAAAAACACAACACTGCCTCACTGGGTTTAGAAGAGGCAAGGGGTCAAATCCCCTGACCTTTGCCTCCTACCTGCAGTGTGACTTCAGAGTGCAACACTCTGTCCCTCAGGGTCCCTTCTGAGTAAGAAAGTAACAGTGATTGTTATCTGGGTGAAATGACACTTTGTAGGACTCATAGAATAGTGCTTGGTGTATCCACATTTTAATAATAATAACAGTAATAAGTATTACTATTGTATAAACATTTAAGGTGTCTGCATGAGACAAATCTTGGCAAATAGTAGCTAAGCATCACAGCCATTCCTCAATGGGAAACCAAGTCTGAGACATAAAGGAAGGTTAAATCATAAAGGAAGGTAAGGTGTGGTCATGTCAGGCCAGCAGCTCGCTGTCCAGTCTGTGCTATAGGATGAAGTCATGGGAACATGAGCTGCTTCCTGGCTTCTGTGGGGCACTGCCTCTCCCCACTCAGATAAGCACTTGTGTCACCTATGTCCATTCTGATCTTAGTGAGATCTGTGTACATGCCTGGCAGCCCTGAGTGCATACCTAGTACTCTTGCTTGCAGTTTGAGCTATATTATCAATACCTGTGTGTGTACACCTAGTAGATCAAAGCTGCTCAGTCAAGAAGGCTGATAATTGAATTCCAGACCCTCAAGCACAGCTCTGTATTCCCCAGCCCAGAATAAGGTTCACATAGAAAATCCAATCAAGCATGTATCTGACACAGTGGTAGGGTTCTGGAGTGTGGATGGTGCTTGCATTCAGTAGAAATTTCGCAGCTTTCCCAGAATGGAATTCTGTGAAATTGTAACTAAGGACAGGTTTTAGGTCCGGTGCTTTGTGTGCCCTGATTGAAGTGAACACATTTCACAATCCTGCATTGCTAGTGCAGAGATATTCATATTCTCTGTAAATACCTTCCACTGCTTGAGAGTGGTGAGCACGCAGATGCCACCACTGATCTTGTCAGGCAAATCGAAGATGACAGATGCTGGACACATCTAGCAGGCTCTAGCAGGCATCTAGTAGGCTCTCAATATGAGATGGGTCTTTTTTTATTGCTCTTGCTATTCTTTTTTGTTCTACCTAACAGCGGTCCTTATTATTCCTGAATACGCGGACCACAGATTGACTCCCCTGAAGGGATCAAACCTCTTTGCTTTCTGCCCTCCCACTCAATCCCAGTATCTTTGTGGAGTACCTTTCGCATGGTGTGGTAAAATCTAAGGCTTATTATAAGAGCACGATGTGAATAAAATGGGTCCTTGAGGAGACAGCCTGGCCATGGATGGCATACATGGAGTTACAATGTCGTGCGGATCACCTGGAAGTAGAACATAACCAGGTCTTCAGGTTACAGCAACGGTTCCTTCTTGCTGCAAACAGTGCAGCTCCACAGAAGAGCTGGACCTCCACACCCTTCCCTAATATTGTGGAACCAAAGGCCTTCAGCTACAGACATGCAGGTTCAGGTCTGGGACCTTGCTTTCAAACTGTTATCTGGAGCAAACAATCTGTTGAATCTCAGTTTCTTTGTCTGTAGAATGGCGGTAATTTCAGGGTCTGCCTCAGGAGAGTGGGAAAAGAAATAATGAGAGAACCCGCGGAAAGCACTGAAACCAGAGTAAACCACCTTCACTACAGCAATATGAAAAGGAATCCACTTAATCCCACATCTGAAAAGCATGATGTTCTTTCTCATTCTGCTGATTTATGACTACATAAGTATTATCTTACACCCACGTAATATTTTTATAATAAATCGAATCTACCAAATTACCAATATAAGGACCACTTTTGACCTGCAAACATGGCATCTACACAATAGCTTCTGAAGTGCCCTTCCACTGTGCTATTTGATTTCTGTGAGTGGTGGCTCTACCGAGCCACTCTCCCCACTCCTCTCCCCATTCCTCACTGTTCCTGCCCACTCATAGAGTGCTGAGACATGGTCATGCTTGGTGGCTAGTGCAGCTCGGTCTATGGGTATGTATATGGACTAAGAGTCTTCATTTACTTATTCAATTTATTTTTTTCAATGGTGCCCTAGAAAGCTTGGTCAGCCTTTCTCTAGGAACTGAAATTGTCAGGTATTTGATGCTGTTGGAGATGGCGCTGTTTTTACCACTCACTTATGCACTTAGTATTTACTGAGCACCTCCTGTGCTCCAGGCGCTGCACAGGGGAGAAGGTACAGAAACCCACATGCTCACACAGAAAGGTCTTGCTGTCACAAACTCTGTTGTGGCAGGGCAGATGGAAACTAAACAAGAAGACAAATAAACACCTAAGCTGTGGCAGAGCATGGTAGATTCCGTGTGGAAGACAGCATGGGAAGAGCCAGTGTGCTCTGAGAGAGGAGAACGCAGCCCATGAGGACAGACACGGGAAGCAGTGGTGGGGATCTGTACGTCTGGTCACAGCAGTGCTTGAGCACCGGCTCTCTCGTTGCCTTGCCTGCATCTCACATGTTCTGCTCTTTGTTGGGGGCCACAGGGTCAAAACATTTCCCTCATTGGCACAGCTGACATGAGTGAGCTGTCTCTCGTGTCCAACGATGGGGCCAGTGCCAACACAGCAGTCCAGATGGATACATTTATCCTTCTCTGTTCAAGGACAGCAAGCAAGAACTTCAGGAAAAAGGGAAAATGGGTCTGAAACTCAAGCTGCATTTGGATATGTAACTTAGGTATAAATCACAAATAATTGGGATGCCTCAGGAGATTAAAAGCAATTCATCAGCTACAGCCAGGTCATTGCTGTCTTCACAGCCTTTGACAGCTTTTGACAGTCAATAGTAT